TATATATATATATATACACCGTAACTCTACATCGATAGTTACAGCTCGAGCTCGGAGGTTGGAACGCATACGTTACAAGCGCTGGCTCAGACAGACTCCTCCCTAGACCTCTACAGTACAGTGCTGCTTTGAACTGTACGAGTTCAAAGTTGAAATAGCTGTAAGCAAACAGCTGTACTGTATGCGTTTAATGCGTGTTTGTACTCATTTAAGCTGGACCCCTGTACTCTTACGGTACAAATTTTTTTTGCGTGTACCTAACTAGCGGGGTATCCCAGCTAAGCTTTACGATCGGGTAGCTTAGTTTTTTTCTTATTTCCTCTCATGTCACTTTTCAGTTCTCACTCGCATTTGAGTAACTTGATGAATCTTGTTTTTTTGTTATCCTAACCTTTATCAGCTTCAGGCTAATCATATTTTTAATTCCACCATGGCGTTGCTATAGTAAATAAATGGTGTGGTTTTTATAAGTTTGGGTATGCAAAATCAGTGTAATACACTCGCTCCGAGCCGATTAGAGTGGGTAAAGGGAAGTGTGTCCTTTTGGCACTTTTGCAGTTGTAATATGGTAAAAAAACAAGTAATTTTTACAATTGGTGCAATGTGAGTACTTTAAATAGTTTTGGAGATGTCACGAATGAAAAATTGAATATTTGTGGTTGGTGGATATTGATCCTTACAAATTTACAAATCCTCTTAAGTATGTGTTATTGACATACACCTTGTCGCCAAAGAAACCGTGGTTGTGCCGTTTATTCTTTTACTCATGCCTGTTCACCAAAATAATCTAATTTAATGTTACTTGAAAAATAGCTTCCACACTTCTAATGTTAAATGGTATTAATCTGATGAGGAATTATTGGCAAGTGACATGAACTAAATGATTATACAATTTCCGGAATTCAATATTCTAAAAGAATTAGTCATTGTACTCAGTCAAAAATTTATAGCTATTAACATGCCTATAATTTGTAGCTATAATTATAGCTATAACTACCTATAAAACAGCTATAATAATGTATAAAATTCAGCTATAAATATAGCTATATACTACAGCTGTAAATTTTTCACAAATAATGGATAAAAATTAGTTTAAAATCAGATTTTTTCAACACATATCGATCAGTACAGATGGTATGATCCGTATGATAACAGTAAAACTGGGGGCCTGAAGTATTTTTAAATAAGTAGAAAAAAAAACAAGAAATCATATACAATTTCAAGTTTTTTAAAAATTGTTTAAAAATACTTTAGGCCCTCAGTTTTACTGTTATCACACGGATGATACCGTCTATACTGATCGATATATGTTGAAAAAATCTGATTTTAAACTAATTTTTATTCAAAATTTGTGAAGATTACAGCTGTAATTTATAGCTATATTTATAGCTAAATTTTATACATTATTATAGCTGTTTTATAGGTAGTTATAGCTATAATTATAGCTGTAATTTATAGGTATAATTATAGCTATAAATTTTTAACTGAGTATACCATTTTTAAATGCTCTGCAATAAAGAATATTTTCAAAAATGTTTTAATGAAATGTTGTCGTCTGTAAAAATCAAAGTTTATCATAAAAGTATTGTATAAATAAGGTAGATACAGTCAAAGTTCTACTTTTGCAAACAATTTTTAAAGCATTCTTTCTCTTTATCTCTATTCAACTTCCGCTTTTAGCAGACAGAGTAAAGAAGAGCTCAATTTCAAGTTTTTATTAGTCTGCTTACAAGGTTTGTAAAATTCTTCGAGTTTTAGAGCTCATGGTTGCCCAAAAAAAAATATCAGTTCTTTGCTTATAAATAGTACGACAATCATGCAGAGAACTATTATCACATTAAATTTCCTACATGGACCCAATGTAGTCATATCTTCTCGTGTGTTTACATCAAGCTATACAGAATTACTAGTATTCAAGACTTCCCAACTACTTTCATAACATTCCTAAGAAATTACTTGCCACTTAACCAATATCAACATAATTTGACATCAAACAGTGTAAAAAACAAACTCATCCAAGGGATGAAGTGTTAATAGAAAATTATTTAATGAATATGAAACCGTGAATAATAAACTAAAAAATCACATCAACTCATTACAAAAAAAAGAAAATTTCATAAATTACAGTAATGTTATGAATAAACTACATAGTAAAAAAGGATGCATACCTTTGCTACATTTGTAGAATAGCCAATGCATATGGGGGTATTTTGAAGCACTGAGTAGTGATAAGAAGATTTTTATCAAAACTATTTAATTATCAGTTATGCCTAAAAATTAAAACATTAAACAGGTAAATACAAATAATACAATTTGATACGCAACTAAGGCTGCGATCACCAAAAAAGATCTGCGAATTGTGTTAAACAAATTTCCCCTACTAACACTGCTCTATCCATATTCTGCAAGAGCATTGAGTGCATTGCTCAGACGTAGCTCTGTGAACTCCGCGAACAACTGGCTAATTTCGACTTGAAAAAAATACCTAAAACTGTGGAATCGTTAGCAACGTTTGCAACCGTTTTGTAAAAAACTATGGGATCAATCACTTTTGCAAAAAAAATAAATTTGATGCCGTCGTGCGAGAGACATGAAAAGTATCTCCTTCACCCTTTGTAGTTTGTCCATACTAACAAAATTGGTATCAATCGTTTGCAGTTTAATTGTAATTTATGTCGAGCAATTGTAAACTGTCATATTTTTATGTACAGCAGGTAAAATAATTATTTTTGTCGAATGTGCTATTTTTTCTCTCATTACACATTCACACCATGATACACATTGCTGCGCATGCGCCTTCTATACAGTTGCCCAAGAAAAAACCGAAAGTGGGCGAAAACGGAGACCAAGGCCCAAGCTTGGCTGCCACGCTACCCACCAACCAACTTGGCACCTTACTTGGCCTCTAGTGGGTTTGAAATACGTCGCTGCCTTGGGCGCAGCTTGTCCTGAGTTGGTATGATTTTCACCCAGTAATGGCCCACTTTCGTCTACAGATCAGTATATGCAGAGACGTCTATGTATTGGCATTATGCCTCTACCACGTGACCTCAGTATAAACATGACTAATATAGAGGGAAAATAATACAGGTCTTATGGAAGGAATCTTGTTTTTGTTTTTTTTTCACACTTAAAAAGGTTGTAATTCCATGTTACAGACATAATGAGAGTTACGTAGCTATTTTTTTCTTTTGGTGAATTCGTTTATGAAGGTTGAAACAGCGTTTTGAACGTATACGGAGTGCCGTTTAACCCTACTGCTGCTGATGCTCAGGGGCCGTACCATATAACTTTTTTTTGCTTCACAGGCCTATGTTATAACATAGGCCGATGTACAGAAAAATAGTTATATAGTACGGACTCAGAGATAAACAAACAGCTCAAAGTTTACGTTATTTACGAAAAAAAAGTATCGAACGTAAAGCGCGAAATTCAAACAAGGTGTAATAACCCAAGTGCCTATCACCATCACCCGATGACTCGAGGCGGCGCTTATTAGCCACTCTATTAGGTTATAAATCATTCATCAATAACACAAGCGCCTGTCATCTAATGACCCAGGTTGCTTACTGGTTACTCTACTTTATAATAAAAAGTTAAATAATCACGCCAGCGCTAATCTTCTGATAACCCAGGGCGCTGCTTGTGTTTCATTACCATTTTAGTATCCAATGGAGTGGCAAGTAAGCGCCCCGGGGTCATCGGGTGATTGGCGCTTGTGATATAAATTATTAATTTATTACTTATAAGAGCGGCTAAAAAGCATTGCGGGTTATAGAATATTAAGCGATTGTGTTATTGATTAACAATTTATTAATTAATACTGTGGCCAGTAAGTGCCCTGGGTCATCGGGTAAAAGGTATTTAGGATATAAATAATTAATTTATCATTTAATAGAGTGGCTAATAGGAGCTCCGGGTGATCAGATAATAGGCGCTTGTGTTGTTATTAAACAATTTGTTATTCAATAGTGATGTCAGTAAGCGCTCCGGGTCGTCTGGTAAAAGGAGCTTGCCTTTTTATTAAACAATTTATCATTTAATAGTGGGGACAGTAGGCACCATGGTCATTGGGTGATAAGTGCTTGTGGTATTATTAAATAATTTATTATTTAATTAAGTGGCCAGTAGGTGCCCCGGGTCATCAGGTGATAGGCACTTGTGTCATTGGACCATATTTGAATTTCGCGCTTTACTTTTGGTACTTATTATCGAGTGTAATGATTTCCCACGTCAGAGAGGGAGAGAGGTTGGATCCAAGAGAATTCTTAAGTCTGTTCGGGACTATATCCCAACGCTGTTGGAATTACCTGGCAAGAATGTGCCTATCACCTAGGGCACCCACTAGCCACAGTATTAAATAATAAATTGTTAATTAATAACACAATCGCTTAATATTCTATGACCCGCAATGCTTTTTAGCCACTCTTATAAGTAATAAATTAATAATTTATATCACAAGTGCCAATCACCCAATGACCCCGGGGCGCTTACTTGCCACTCCATTAAATACTAAAATGGTAATTAAACACAAGCAGCGCCCTGGGTTATCAGAAGATTAGCGCTGGCGTGATTGTTTAACTTTTTATTATAAAGTTGAGTGGCCAGTAAGCAACCCGGGTCATTAGATGACAGGCGCTTGTGTTATTGATGAATGATTTATAACCTAATAGAGTGGCTAATAAGCTCCGCCTCGTGTCATCGGGTGATGGTGATAGGCACTTGGGTTATTACACCTTGTTTGAATTTCGCGCTTTACGTTCGATACTGTTTTTTCGGAGTTAGTGATGTCCCACGTCAGAGAGGTTCCCACCTGAAGAAAAATTTCGGAATTCTATGTAGAATTACTTCTGTAATACTATCAGGAAAGCCATATGGCATTACATAAAGGGTTTTAGCTTAGTGATGTCATATGTAATTCCATATGGAAAAACACATGGAATTACTGATTGGAAAAAGAAAAAATTTCTATCATCTAGAAATAACTGCAAAATACCATAATAAAATATTTGCGGTCAACAATTTGTCTTACCATCGGGATGATAACTCCAAAACAAGGGGGCTCAGCTGATTTTACTTCTATATAAAAAAATTTAATTTTTCGATTTTTTTTTTAATTTCTGAAATATAACTTGAATCCCCTTGTTTGAGAGTTATCATCCTGATGATAACACTAATTGTTCACAGTAAATGACGCATTACAGTATTCTGCAGTTATTTCTAGTTAACAAAATTTTTTTCCTTCTTCCAATTTGTAATTCTATGTGTTTTTTCAAATGGAATTACATATGGCATTACCAAGCTAAAACTCGATCCTTATGTTAGGCCATACGTAAAACCATATGTCATGCCACATGGCTTTCTTGAAGGTATTACAGAAGTAATCACACATGGAATTCCGTCTTTCTTTTTCAGGTGGGTTAGGTCCCAGAGAATTCCCAATTCTGGCCGGAACTTTATTCCAGTGCTGTTGTAATTACCTGACAAGAAAGTGATTCAAAGGCTCAGACGAGGGCCTGGCCAGGCCAGCCTTACATCGATGCCAGGGCCTGGGCAGGCTTAAATGTGGAGTTTATCACACGCTGAAATATAAGGAAGATATATCGTACAGAAAACGCTATGTGTGATGAACCATGAACGTCCTTAAATGGACGGAAGGTTGAAAATCGCTTCTGCTACAATTTTACCAAGTGTCATCCAGTTATTTCGCTGATGCTATAATTACGCATCATTGCTCTAAATATAGAAAACAAAACGGGGTTAAAGTATTTAAGTCAGGCTATTCGACTCGGTGCGCTTTTAGGTAACATTAAAAGAGGGCTTCCTAGTTAACGTATAGTATTATATAAATATTTATGCATAAATATCATTTACCTTTCTACATCAAGTTTTTTAAATACTGGACGGAACTAAAACTCGATTTGACTTACAGAGACTTCGGAATTGCGCTCAAAGCGAATAACAAAAGAATGATATATATTCATACTTCTACCCCAGGTTACTTGGTGATTGATGCTTATGTTGTTTATGAGTATTTTACTAAATAATAAACATAACAACCAGTAAGCACCTCAGGTTGCCTGGTGATTAACACTTATATTATTTATTGTCATTTTAGTAATTTATTAAGAGCCCATAAAATGCCTGGATTAGCTGGTAATTGGCACTTGTGTTATTTATTTCTGTTTTTTTATTTTAACTTATTAAGTGGCTAATAGACACCCCAGATTGCCTGGTGATTGGCGCTTACGTTACTTATATATTATTCTTTTAAATTATTTATTTGAACAGACAGTTAGCACCCCGACCTATTTGATGATTGGTGCTTATGTTGTTAAATAATGTTGTTAAATAATGTTGTTAAATAAGAGTTTTTAAACCAATCACAGCGAGTACTTCGCTAGCTTTGCATATGCCGTCTCGCTCGCACTCATGGCAAAAATAAAGTAACGCCCGTATTTTTTACTCCCATGTGCACGATGACAACTTTTTTCGCGTATAGCATAAGTATACTTATAAAGTATGCAACCTGTAAATACAGTCAGCACTGTCAGCAGCTAGTGTGAACAACAACAATTACAGTATCAATTGTATAATTAATCGAATTTCTGACATGGATGAAAAATAAATCGTAAGAACTTGGGGTAAATTGTGGAAAGTCTGCACGACCTATGCAATGACCCAATATCGCAAAGAAAAAGTGAGAAGTGTAATGATTAAGCTGTACGAAATGTATTAACGGCTCTCAAATAAAAAGAAACATATACTTGAAAACTTTTTTTTGACATGTGCACAGGTTAGAATTTACTTACGTAGAGAACTTCAAAAGCTTTTTTCGTTGACAAGACAGCAGATTGGTCAATTCCCCTCTACTTCACACTTACGCGATACGCGAGGCTTTTACGCCTTTTCTATGCGATCACAAAGTGGCGTATACCTAACCTTCCTTACTTTTACGCGATACGCTTTACGCGGTTCCATGTGCCCGAGCCCTCACCCATCCCTACATGTACTATGTCGTTTACCAACCACGGCCTAGGTTACATACAGAGATATAAGAATAGAGTCCGTTATTTACACAGAACCCTGTACGATAGAGGTAATGTAATAGAGGAAGCGAACTGTACATTCTTCTGTAAGTAGAAGCGTACGGTCAGTAGACAGAGGAAGATGACTGTTTTGGTCTTGCATCTGTCTCTGCTCTCTGTATTAATTGGCTGCTGCATGATAGTGTTTATTCGCTCCATGCATCAGGTTGGAGGGGATAAAAAAAACGACTGCAGCGCTGTAGGTGAGCAAAGTTGGCGAACCCGTACCCCCATCAATCTTACAGTAAGCGTTGACTTATATGAAAAAAGATATTATTTCATTTAAAGTAATTAGTTGAGAAATCGAAGGCGGAAAAAAAATGTTATTTAGCCAAACCGGGTCTATACTACGGATTAATAATTTTGCTAGGCACTTCAAATCGCCCGAAATTTTAAATAATGCGTTATTAAATATC